TCATATAAGAAAACTATCTCGAACATATATCACCTTGTCCGGAAAGTTCGTGCAACTCGTATACTATGAAATCTTAGGTTAACAAGTGCTGCATCTAATCAATGTAATGAACTTCGCTAACAGCCACACGTAGCTTGTTGGCAACGTAGAATCGTTAGCGAAGGTTATTACATTGAATAAATGCAGTACTTGTTAATCTAAGATTTCATAGTATACGAGTTGCACGAACTTTCCGGACAAGGTGATAGTATTATTAATTAATTTTTAAGTAAGTCTAAGAATGAAATTGAAAATAAAAATAATTATTGCAAAAGTCAACAAAGTCATCAGCTTCAGATTACATTAATATTCGAAAACACAATGACCTATAAACTAAATTTTCATAAGTAACACTCTGAACGAACCTGTGCTAGAGGTCATATGTGGTTTATCATACATCAACAAAAGTTTAAGTGCACATCTTGGCGCATTCATATAAGATAGATTATGACATATTCTATCAAACAGTAAATTCAAACCCGAATAAAAGACTTTGAAAAATTTTGAAAATGAGTTACATTATTCAAAAGTCGTTATGTTTGGCATGTTATGAGTATATTTTTGATTATATTATAACAGAAGCAACTTCAGAGAACTCAAAACGCTTACAGTATATGGTAGACATACAAAGCTAAATAAGTTCATACTATCTCATGAATTCGATCAGGTCGTTAATTTGAAATATGATTTTTACTTATACGGTTCCAATGGTACTAGTCATGCATTATATCCATCTTGTAGCAGCTATTGCCAAATGACTATTCACTTGAAATCAGATTCCACGATACGGTTAAATGTAGGAGAGTAGTAGTTTTAATGCTAGCTATGATATAGGTTCAGATCTCATAAATCGATTTTGTCGCCTGGCTGTTCACTGTGTACCACACTCAGAGGATAATGAATTTCGTCATTTAATTGAATGTACAAGTTGTTCAACTGTTTAAGCTATTTTTACAACTATCAAGCTAAATATTACGAAATTCACTTTAACAGCAGCGAAAATTAGTAAAAGACAATGTCAATATCAGAAAGAATTAGATTATCAAAATGATAGAATTTAGTTTTGCGAGAAAACTGCAAAAATTCTGTTTAGATTAACAATATCTTGAATAGAGAGTACGAGTATGAGTGAGTGAAGAAAGCATCAACTCACATCCTACTATCAGAAACCGTTGGATCCAATATCTGACAACTTCCTATAGGAATCCCATGTCATGGATTTCAACAACTTCCAATAGAATCCTATCGAAATTTGTCAGATTTCTCTCGCAAGTTGTAGGATTATCTTAGATATCTCATCGAATTCGACAATATTCAACTTTAGAATTTTTTTGACCTAGAATGTTCTCATTAATAAGCTGATAGAGAAGAAATTTCAAAAGTATTAAGAGGGCAATGTCTTTATCGCAATTCTTTATATATTAGCAGAGCAGGCAATACTTTTCAATGGAATTTCTTGAAATTAGTTCCAACACTATCATTCATCATCTAGTATCTACAGTACTTTTTTAACGTTTCTTTTTCCAAAAGTCATTATGTCTATTATATTCTGCCATCTATCGAATTTTTTTGCTATTTTAAATAGAAACGACATAAAAGATAAAAAAAGAACCAATCGAAATATGTTTTATCTTGCATTAGTCTTATGTTCGAATTTTATTCAAAGTTTTTTTCTAACTTAAAACAAAAGAAATAATGAATTGAAATCATCTTCGAGATATTCTTATTGATGAATTAGCTGTCGGAAGGTCTCGATGGTTGTACGTTCAATCATTTATATTCTACTTAGGACTAACTAAAAGTTCTAAGCCCTGTGTTTAAAGGACCTTGTGGGACAAGGCAACCTATTCAGAAATGGAAAATCAAGTATACCATATTGTAGACCATTTTCAGGCGCGTCGAATGGTATATAGTAAATCTGATTTTCATAAAACTTTGAAGGAACTAGAGTCAATTTACTGGTGGACAACTATACACTCACATCCATACTGGCACCCAAGCGTGATATATTATTGAATATTGTGGTCTTTGATATTAGTCGAAAATATTTGTAAAATATTTTTCTCACATATAGTTTTGTAGACTTTTTGACGGGCTACAATCTTATATATGTAGCATCTTCGATAATCTTGTCAGTGTAGGTATGGATGGATGTGAATGTAGATGTGTAGTCGTCCATCCATAAATTGACTCTAGTACCTTCAAAATTTTATGAAAACAGGATTTACTATATACCGTTCGAAGTGCCTGAAAATACTCTACAATATGATCGAGTCGGTTTCTCATTCCTTAATAGGTTACCTTATCTCATAATGTTAAAATTTCTTTTATTCATTCTTTCTTTTTTCGCATGCAGAATCGAGAACAACTTTTACACGCGCAA